AAAAAAAAACAACGGTAACCTGGTTGCCGAGTTCACGAAGTGAATTGGCTTGTTTTACAACGTCGTTGCCAAGCGACGAAAACCCAACCCCGATGGTAAACACCGGGGGGGGAGATTAGGGGGGGGAGGGAATAGTGTTTTCGGTCAATGCACAACAAAAAGATTGCAGGATGATGACGGGGTGAGTTCGAAGGCGTATTTGTAGATGCCTGAGTTTAGTAGTGCGTGGTGGGGTGAGGCGATGCGATGTGCCCAAGGGTGCGATCTCCATGTGCGGCGTACCATGTGCAAACGGCTGTTGTTGCTGGGCATGCAGCATGTTGTTCGGGATGGAAGGCCACCCTCGTTCGCTACGCTTCGATCTCTACACTACCCCCCACCATAATAAGTAGCCGTGTACCATGGTAAGCTACGTATGGTGACCTATCCCTGGTGGGATCATACGCTCCCGGGTGTTTTGCACCCCTCTGATAGGTGTATTGCAGCAGCTTTTGTTGGTGAAACGTGTGGTCACTTTGCTGTGAATACTCGCTTTGTCTTTGCTCTCAACGCGCTTATTTTCATGTGTGTATCCTACCCCAACCCCTCCCCACCCCGCCTCCATCACGTGCCCATAACAAATACTGTGCCATATGGTAATACCGTACCATATTCCATGGTGCAGGTTATTCACGAGAGCACCATCGCGGTGGTAGATCCAGCCAGCAAGAAGGAATCGCTCGCAGACAACGACGACGACGAGGCCAAAAAGCGCGGCAAGGCGGTTAAGGCTGAGATGGCCGCTGAAGGGGCTGATGGGGACAAGGACGGCGCAGGCGCTAAGGGCAAGGTCAAGGACAAGAAGGAGAAGCATTCGTCGCGGACCCTGGTTGTGCCTACGCTCCGCTACAATATCCAGGTCTGTACGGCGGGGGAGGGGGGGGGGGGGCTCTTATGTTTTGCATGTCTTAGCGGTTAGACCATTGACCACGCGTCCTCGAGAGGACGGAGCATTGTTCCCACAGGACCGATCACCGATGGCCAATCGTTCCTTTCTGCCTTGCCAAAGGTGGCTCAAAAATGTCTTCCCTAGTCTGTCTATCCTAACGATATCCCTTCCCTCCTTTCAACCCACCTCCTATGCCCCAGTACAGCTACCGTCCTTTCCTCTCTTTTCCATGCCTCAAACATTTCCCTGTACGTCCCATCTATTGTTCCCAGCTCAGTCACGTACACTTCCCCCTCCTTCTTGTACCACGGACATTCCGCGACTACAT